CTCTCTCTCTCTCTCTCTCTCTCTCTCTCTCTCTCTCTCTCTCTCTCTCTCTCTCTCTCTCTCTCTCTCTCTCTCTCTCTCTCTCTCTCTCTTTCTCTCTCTCTCTCTCTCCCCTTTAAAGATTTCGTAGGAAAATAAATAGAAATGGTGTTTTATTTGCTTGATGATTCTTTTCATGGGTGAAACATGGTGAGGTTTTACAGCTTCACCGTATGGAGTTTCTTGTTTTAACCATATTAAGAAAAATATATAGTATCCTTCATCAATCAATTACCGGTCGAAATTTGCTTGCATAATTAAATATTTTGCATTATTTGAATTTTTGTTATATGGCAGATTTTGAATTGTTTATCATTGAGTACTCCCAATTTTCATGTGTTGTCTTTTGAAGTCCTTCTATTTTCTTGGAAGTTGGGTCTCTACAGGTTTAAATTTCTTTGCTCTAATTTGAGCCCAATTTTCTATATGTTTTTTTATTTTATTTTTATTATTGGAACTTGGGTCTTTGTAGATTTGATTTATTCTTTCGGAAGAACCCTTTTGGTGGAGAATACACGGTCTTTGGTGGTCTAGGGGAATGCATCCATTTCATTGCCAATTTCAAAATTACAGAGGACGAGATTTCCTTTTTACGCTCTACTTTGCCCTCTAGCTGTGAGGTGACTATATTTCCTTTTGAATTTTTGAGTTGGTACTTGGATAATGGCAAGAACATAATTTCTTGAAGATTTGCATTGCTTTGCATCATGGTATATTTGTACAGGTGAAATAGGTGGCTATACCATGCCATCATCATATTGTTTTTATTTGTTAACAGCACATGATATTGTCATTTATATGAATGAGAGATAACGGGGATCTTAGTAGCTTCGTTGGGATTTTAGGAACTATAGTAGTCTTTGTTCTTCCTTTGTTTCTAGATTTATATCTGCCCAGCTTTCGAGCAAGAAAATTGTATTATATTTTCTTGTGTGAGGGATGCTAAAATGTGAATAGAATGGAATTTTCTACGCAGTTAAGTGGCTCATACATTACAAAGCAGATGCGGTGAATTTGGTGATTTTACTTGGGAAAATCTTGAGAATAGATCTTTAGCTCTTCTAAAGTTGCCTTTGTTATCAGCAACTTTTCACCTTTTTTCTCTACCAGGCAGGAAATAGATTCCTCCTGTCCTTAAATTTTCCTGAATGATTAATGTTTTGCTCCTTTTATATTCACTATAGAAAAACTTTCTATGATTTGCACTTACAATGAACTTCAGCATGGCATATTGGAAACTTAAATTGCTGTCCCTGAATAATCAGTTCCAACTACAATTCAGGACACACATACACTGCTTAGACATGGGTTCAATCCCCACACCATCTCAACTGCTTAGACATGGGTTCAATTCCCGCATAAAGAAAAATGAAAACCATGCGTACCTACATGCAAGTAATGATATATGCATATTCATGTGCATTATATACGCACATGCACATATATCAGAGAAACATGGACATCTGCCTTAAAAAATACCTCGTTATATAGACACATCCATACAATATGAAAAAGGCAATGTGTTTGCCTATGCTTCTATGTAACATTTTATATACGTCATTATGTACATTATACACACACATACACATGTCACGAAAACTTGGACATACAATGCCAAAATACATGTTCTGTGGCTCATCCATACTGTACAAATAGTTCGATGTGTTTGCTCATAATGTGTTTCCATTTGCTTTTATATGATGAATGACCCAAGAAAGTTTTCCGACACAAGCGCCCCTTGCTAAAAAGTATTGAGCTCATCTGTCTTGGAGTTTTACGTGTTGTACGAGTGCAATACACTGTGTTGATTGTCAATCCACATATTAATTTTGTTACAACATGCCATCTAGGGTTCCATTCTCACTAGGTCCCAAGTTAACATTTCAAAAGAAAAATAATCATCATAATAAAGTAAATAACATGTAATACAATATTTATGCATTAATTGATGTATATAATTTGATCTTTTAGGAGCCATGTCTGACATATGTCCAAGCCATTTAACAAGGATGTCTGTCTTTATATATGTAAATATCTGTATATAAAGATTGACATAAAAACAAATGAAATAAAATTTATTATAATAAGTTAGAATGGCTCCATGTACAGATTTTAAACATGCTGGTCAAATGGCAAACATGATGTGCCCCATGTGTTGGACACTCAGAAAGTTAGACACATCTAGCAAATTGTTGTAGCTATGCCAAATGGCATGGCTGACCCTATTGATACAGAGGTTGGTGTTTTTTTTTTGGGTGAAAAAAGTGGTTAGTCAGTGGGGATTTGGGCCCCTACCATTGTTACCGGAATCTCTCCACCGACCTTGCATTTCAAGTTCTGAAACCCGATTCCGCGTTTCCATTAAGGAATCTTCACAGAAACCGTTTTTCGGAACCAAAGAAACTCGATTCCTTAACTTTGGAATCTCGATTCGACACATCTTTAGAAACCTTTTTCGGAACCAAGGAAACTCGATTCTTTAATTTCGGAATCTCGATTCAACACATCTGTAGAAACCATTTATCGGAACCAAGGAAACTCGATTCCTTAATTTTGGAAGCTCGATCTAACACATCTTTGAAAACTTGAACCCATTAATTGCGGGTAGATGTTCTCAAATATATCGAATCTAGATTCTAGCGAGGATTAAATCTTGATTCGATGTCAATTGGAATGGAAATATTCTTTCGAATGCTTCTAGTGGTTGCAAGGTTTCATTATTTTATTTGTGCCACCCTGGATGGCTTTTACTTTAAATTTAAAATATAATTGGTAAATACAACACATACAATTAAAAGTAAAACCATGGAGTAGACATAATCCTATTTTGCCTTTATAATAATGAAGGCAAAATCACAATTTAGGAATACTTGTCGTTTGTATATTATGATCATAAGTTCAATAGTCAACACAATCACTTTAAAATTCAGGAAACCTTCTAATAAGAAACATCCAATATAGGTTCTAAAGTTGATGAGGCTCAAGATGTGCTTGTGGCTTCCTTCTCCATAAAAATGCAATCTTGATTCCTGGTAGGGGTCGTCAAACGCATTCCATAGTCCATATTATTGTAAATCTCGATCTCAAACTGGCATGGATCTCTGATTTATATACTTTAAAAACTTGATTCCGAATATGTTAGGATTACGATTCAAAACAACAACATATCTATGTTCCACATATGTCAGAAACTCGATTCCATAGATGTCGGAAGCTCGATTCCGCATATTAAAGAATCTTGACTCCTGGAGTGTCAATTCTTGGGGGATGGGAATCCCAATTTTAAGGAGAATGAAATCTCTATTCTATAGGTGGATGAAACTTGGATCTATTTCGGTCGAAACACGATTCTCAAAAACTAGGAATCTCATTCCTAGTGATTCCTATTGTACGGACAACGATTCCTAAGATTTGAATCTTCTAGCAGGCCGCGATTCCGGTTCCTAAAACGATTCGGGTTCCTAGGCGTTTCCAACAATTATAACCCCTACTCTTTGGTGAGAATGGAGTAAGAGACCTCACCATGAGGCTCGACAATACTACGACCAAGGCCCCAGACCATTCTTGATATAGAGGTTGGTGTTGGCATTACTTGCGTGTATTTTTGAACATGTCTACACGAATTCAAATTCAACATTAATCTAGTAGATCAATATGAATAATTTTGGGAAATTAGACAGGGTTTTGAAGTTCTTCCTGAGCTTAAGGACCATACATAGATGGAAGGGGCTTTAGTGTCTGTGATTCCATGAACTATTGTAACTTATTCCTTATCCAAGCACGGTATTATATGGCTCCAGTTAGAATTAAACTTCATTTATGGATATGCTATGGACATGCTTAGAATTAACAATAAAAAATGCTTTAGGATTAGAGAACTGAATTTTCAAACTCACTCTGAGTTGTACTTTCTCTCCCTGATCATGAGGACACTTTTATTATGACATCCTTCAGTGTGGCTATTTACACTTTATTCATTAACTGGTTTTGGATGATTGGCTTTATGTAGGATGGCTTTTTCGATTATCTTAGAGGGATTGATTGCTCAGATGTTGAAGTATATGCTATTAGTGAGGGGTCTGTTGTTTTTCCTAGAATTCCCTTGATGAGAGTCGAAGGACCAATTGCTGTGAGTATTGTCAAACCACCTCTTCCCTGGATTTCTGTGAGCCTTTTTCATTAGTACTGTATTTGTGGGTAAGGCCTGTTTTTGTATCTTCATTCATATGTACTTGCATTTGTTAACTTAATGTTTAGGCTGATCTCAGGTTCTGAAACTCCTTACCCGCTTTTTTAGGTTGTGCAACTTTTGGAAACCCCATTTCTGAATCTGATTAACTATGCCTCTCTTGTTGCCACTAATGCTGCAAGACATCGCTTTGTTGCTGGGAAGTCCAAAACTCTACTTGAGTTTGGACTTAGAAGAGCTCAGGTGAATGTTTTTACTTTTTTCGTGTTCATGACCTTTGCTTACCATTATATTATACAATATCATATGATATTGTTTTATACACTCAGGGGCCAGATGGTGCAATAAGTGCATCAAAGTACTCCTATATAGGCGGTTTTGATGCGACAAGGTTCTTCCTTACAAACTTATGCATTTTAATATATTTGTATGGGTTCTTCCTTACAAACTTATACATTTTAATATATTTGTCTAGTGAACTTGCGAGCATTCTTTACTGATTGAGAACCTCATCCTCTATAATGCGTCTTTGCATACATCACATTCAACAATTTGTGAAACTTCCGTTGCATCTGGTCTTTTTTGCTTTCACTACTAATAATTGAAAAATTCCTCTGGAGTAAGGTTTGTTATGTAATTTCACACCAGTATTCATCTTCTTTCTTAATCTATGTTATTTGTAGTCTATTAGTTTCACTTAGGGCTAAAAAGGTTTCTTATGTCTTACATACTTAACGAAATAACAAATATGCTCTTGGGCACAAGGACATTCACATGGTGCCCAAAAGAATATGACAGAGATGGACCTAACTAAGAAAATCCTTGGGCACGAGGACATTCACATATGCGTCCGGAACACTACTTATGACAAGAGATGGACTGAACTGAAAATGGAAAGATAGACAGACTCGTATATATGATTTTAAAACTTACTCTAGTGGGAAAATGTTACTGTTGTCAAATGTGAGAACCAATTGAAGCCCAGCTACTCTTGTGCTTGCTAAACATTACTCAAAATGTTTTGGTTTTGTGATGCTTCCATCTTATTCATCATATTCTTTCTCTTACATCATGTAACAAGTAACTTCTTCATGTCCTAACCGAGGAACCCTTTGAAGCATTCAATAAGAAAGCAAAACTGATTTTCCCATTATTACTCCCTTAGTAGGCATATTCAAACAATGCCCATATTTATTTGTTTATTTATTAGGATGTTCTGGTCGGATGAAAGTGTAGGGGAAGTTAAGAATGAAAGGGGGGCCATAGGAAAGAAGAAAGGTTCTAGGGATGTTTTGATCAGACTGAGGAATGAAGGTTGAACTGCTATGTCTGTTTCTGCATGCAAATTATTGAGACTCCATGTAACTATTTGTGATAGAGTTATTGTTCGAATGATAACCGTTGTTCCAGCTCACTTTCGGCTCTCAGCCATTTCTTGAGAAAACCTATGCATAACCTTCCAGAAGAAGTGATTGCCATGGCCCTTGTAAGAACCGATTGGGTACTCTGGGATGGATCATCATTGTCTGGATAGCCATAAAACACATTAGCTTTGTGAACTGCTTGAGATAAGAGAACGTCTACATGTCTCTTTGTGAACTGTTTGAGAGGTTTAGCCATAAAACACATTGGCTTTAAAGAGGAGCAATATTCATTGTTCTATGCTTTTGAAAATAAGATATGCAACAAACTATGTTCGCTTGGTCTATCTTGATTGCATGGTTCTCATTAATGATGATACTCAGTATATCCCAGGCCTTACTAGACACGTACATCTTAGTCCTACAAAAGCATACAATAGTACCACAAGTAGGAGGTGAAGAAGATGTATGCACCTATGGAAGTATAGTACCATAGTTGTTGGAAACTCTTGAGATTCCAATTGATTTAGGAATCTAAATTGCGGAATCACAAGTGGCTGGAAGATTCTTATTGTCAGAATCGTTGTCCGTTCGTGGGAAAATGCTGGAAATGAGATTTCTACTTTATCATAATCTATTTTCAACCCAAATGAAATCAAGATGCCTACCTCGAATTGAGTTTCAATCCAAATGGAATTGAAATTCCTACCTCGTTGCAATCAAGTTTCAGACCAATTGGAATTGAGAACCATACCAGTTTGCAATCAGGTTTCAACCCATGTGGAATCAAGATTCCTACCTCTATGGGATCGAGTTTCAACCTAATAGGCAAGATTCCTACATCTATGGGATCATACACCCAACAACCTAGAGTAATCTTATGCACGAATCCCTTAATATGGAATCAATGTTTAGCCATGGTTCCCCTAGTATTGGAAATGGTTCCCCTAGTATTGGAATCGGGAACCCCAAAGGTCATAAAGACCTGAACAAGGCTGATGCAGGAAAATAGAGAAAATAGGCAAAAACAATTCAATAAACCATCAAAAAAGTCTAGATTTGACTGGATTTGGCTTTCCATGCGCAAAAAAAAAAACCCCAAAACCTGGATAGGGCCTGGTTTTGTTTTTATTTTTTTTTTAATATGTTAACTATTGCATTAAGTATAAAAGTGTACAAAAAATTCGGCAACCCACATGTCGAGTTCTCGATTCCAAAAACCCTTATGTGCCCAAAAATCTATACAATCATTATAAACAGCACAAAAAATAGCCCGATAAAAATAACACACGATGTACAAGTTGGGGATTGAGAACTCAAAAACTGCCCAAAAAAGTCTCTTGTGATTGGTGTTGGTTGGCTCCCTCCTTTGCAGAGGTGTCGGCTATGGTGTTGACCTCCCCCCAAGCCTCCATACGTGTATATCCCTGCATAGATGGAAGATCTCGTCAAAAATGTGGTCCAACCTCCAAGGGCAGGGTGCAGATCTCAAGGCTCATAATATGACATTTGCTGAATCTCCCTCGACTATCAAGGTATTGCCCCAGGTATGGTTGAAGCTCCTAAGGCTGAATAGGAGGGCTGTTGCCTCCACTAGGTTGGAGTCGACTAGGCCAAGAAAAGGAAAGCAGAGTGCAGCATCCTTGTCATGGAAAATTCCCCTAATACCCTAGGGGTCAAGGTTGCCCTAGGAGCAACCATCAAAATTGGGCTTGGATTGTCCATTGTCTGGAGGTCTCCACAAGGACGCCCGAGGGATAAAAGTGGATTGGAAGGAGATCAAAGCTAAGCAGTTCTGACGGAAGTCCGCAACTGAGCATTGCTTGAAAGTTTTTTTGTTTAGTGCCCAGAAGATGACTAGGGAGTGCACCTTCTCTTTGAGAGCCTAGATGTGTGTTATCTTGCCATAGAAAGCTCTATGGTTCCTCTCTAACCAAATGACTGAAATTGTGGCGGCCACAACAGCTATCCAAAGGAGGATGCTGGACTTAGGCAAAGGAGGAGAAAGGAAAGACAAAAACAGTTGGGGTAGACCGTGGGTGGCCCACGAGCAACCAAAGAGCTGAAGAATGCAGCCCCAGAGTTCTTCGCCGATCTCATAATGGGCATTGGATTCAGCATCAATGCAGCTAATGACCTCAGCCGCGATAGAGAACAGAAAAGGTTAGAGGGGTTCCCCTTGCTTGAGGCCCCTCGACGACTGGAAAAGGGCGCTAGGGGAGCCATTGATGAGGATGGAGAAAGAGGGGCTTGCAATGCATCCTTTCATCCACCTATGCCAGCAGGAGCCAAACCCGTTCTTTTAAGGGTCCATGCCAAAATTTGCCAATCAACATGGTCATGCGCCTTTTCCTAGTCCAGTTTGTTGACTTGCCCCATATCCTTGGCAAGATGACGGGAGTGTATACACTCGTGCGCCACTAGGGCTCCATCAAGGATCTGCCTATCCTTAACAAAAGCCCCTTGGGTAGGGGAGATAACCCAGCCGAGTACCTCTCGAAGCCTAGAGTCCAGAAGCTTGGAAAGAATATTGTAGGAACTATTTACAAGGCTAATGGGCCGATAGTCTTTGAGTTCCTCAACCCTTCTACTTTAGGGATCAAGGCTTTGAATGTGGCACTCATGCCTTTGTTTACAACACCACTGTTATGGAAATCCTCGAAGAAAGCTGCCAAGTCTGGGCAGATGGAGTCCTAAAACTGCTCGTAGAGGGCAATTGGGAAACCATCTAGGACCAGGACATGATCTTGGCTCAGGGATTTTATGGCAGGTAAGATCTCTCCTTGGTGGAGCAAGGGTTTTTCAGCCATGCAGCCTGTTCAGGTGGAATGGTCTTAAACGCCATGGATGCCATCCTGGGTCTTGGGCCCGCCAGAGCCATAAAGAGCTTCTTAAAAAAACTCAATGATCGCCTTTTCAACAAGAGGGGTGTGGTCGAAGATCTAGTCCACAACTTTATGAGGGAAATCGTATTGTCGTTCCTACTACAATTTGCGATCTTCTGAAAAAAAGGCATATTAAGATCACCGAGTTTGAGCCAATTGACCCTTGAGCATTGAGCCTAACAAATCTCCTTTTTACAAAGCAATCTCATGTAAGATAGCTATAGTTCGAATGCAAGTCCCTTTCGGCAGGGGAAAGGACTCTACTCTCTTTCGAGGTGTTCCAGGAGTGGATAGAGTTTAGTAAGGATTCCTTTTGTTCCCAAAAATTCCTGAGGAGATAGCGGCTCTGAGGACAGATTTGAGCAATTGCAGCTTTCACTGAAGGCAAAAGCTGTGCCGCCCTTGAACTATTGCCACAAAGGACATCCACCAAGATGGGATTAGAGAGGTCTGGTTGGGCTCCCCAAGCCATGCCATTTCAAAACAGAAAGGATTTGGGCCCCTAGGCATGGATTATGTATAAAATGCGGTGGTGGTCTGTAGTGGGCTTAAGGAGGGCTAAGGAGTGAGAGCGAGGGAAAGTGGAGTCCCAATAAGGGAGATAAGGTACCTGTCCAATTTGGACAGTGCGGGGGTTTGAAGAGTGGTTCGACCACGTAACTTATGCCTCTTGAAGAGGGATATCCAAGTTGGTTGCTAGCCACAAAATCAAAAAGGTCGGTCTTCCCCTCGTGGATCTCCTTGCAAGCTTGTGATTCGGATCTTCGTAAAAGGGGTCGTCAAAGGATGGATTGGTTGGGTCAAAAGGCCCATCTGTCTTGACTATCGAAGAACTGTCTGGTGCATCAATCTCCCTCGATTGGGAAGAACTCAACCTCAACTTTGGCTCTTCTTCTATTACTACTTTGGTTCCATCGTACTGGAAATCAGCAACATTGAACACATTCGAGGTCGCATTCTTAGCTAGAGGCATAGATAATACTCCCCATCTTCTTTAAAACTCGAAACGGCCTGATTTTCCTATTATTCAGCTTGTTGTTCTTTCCCACAGAATGCCTATCTTTGCGTAGCTAAACCATCACCAAATCACCTACCTGAAACTCTTTAAATCTCATATGCTTAACTGCAGCTTCCTTGTACTTGGA